ATTTTTTTTTAATACTTTTAGCAGAGATGGGGTCCATCATGTTGGCCAGGCTAGTCTTGAACTCCTGACCTCAAGTGATCCACCCACCTTGGCTTCTCAAACTGCTGGGATTACAGTTATAAGCCACTGTGCCCGACCTATATTCATCTTTATTATTAGTATTCCCATGGTTTTACTACATTATTACTGCAAATAATCTTTTTTTATTTGTCAGTCATCTTTCTTTGATATTCCATGTTCAGTGCCCTACAGAGGTAATTTTGCTACTTTCTATTTGTCTAAAAGTGAAAAATATAGGATTTTAGAATTTAGTAAAATTAGTATAACTGTCAAGTAAACTTATCATATATTTGTGGTAGTTGTTTTTTTTACCACCATGGTAGAACCTGTAAATACTGACGAGTGTCGCCCCTCTTGATTCTGAGATTTTTTTGTAACATAATTTTTTAAGATGAGGATTGTTGAGGTATATTTACATAAAGTGAAATTTATCCTTTTAAAATGTACAGTTGGGCCAGATGTGGTAGTGTGCATGTAGTCCTAGTTACTTGGGAGGCTGAGGAGGGAGGATCGCTTAGCCCAGAAGATCTTAGCTACCATGAGCTATGATTGTGCCACTGCACTCCAGCTTTGGCAACAGAGCAAGACTCTGTCTCTAAAATAAAATAAAATAAAACAAAATGCAATACAATATAATACAATACAATAAAAATGTGTGGTTGGATGAGGCTTGACAAATGTGTATAGTTAAGTAACCACCAGTACCATGAAGATAGAGATATTTCTGTCATGCCAAAAAGTTCCCTCATGTACCTTCGTAGCATTTCCCCTCCACCCATCCCTATACCTTGGCAATCACAGATATGCTTTCTGTCACTATAGTTTTACATTTTCCAGAATGTCACAAAAATGGAACAATAGCGTGTAGCCTTGTGTCTGGCTTCTTTCGCTTAGCATAAAGCTTTTGAGATTGATTCAGTTTGTTGTATATGTTATGACTTTTTCCTTTTCATTGCTTTCCTTACATCCTCCAATGTATGGGAACAAAACTTAAAAAAAATGTTTTTTGAGAGATAGAGTCTTGCTCTGTCACCCAGGCTGAAGTGCAGTGGCACAATCATAGCTCACTGCAGTTTCAAACACCTGGGCTCTAGGGATCCTTCTGCCTCAGCCTCCTGAAGCACTGGGATTATAGGTGTCAGCTACCTCATCTGGCCCCTAAAATGGTTTTTTTTTTTTTAATTCCTTCACCAATTAATGGACATTTGGAATATTTTTGTTTTAGACTATTGTAAGTAAAAGTGATATAATCATTCACGTACAGGCCTTTATATAGTCATATATTTTCATTTTCCTTGAGTAAATACCTGGAAATAGAACTGGTAAGTCATAAGAAAAGTATAGATTCCACTTTATTAAAAAAACTACCAAATTGTTTTTCAAAGTGGCTATATTATTTTGCATTTCTACTGACATTGTATGAGAGTTCCATTCGATATCTTTGTCAGCACTGGGTATTGCCATCTTTTTAATTTTAGCCATTCTTGTGGGCATGTAGTGGCATCCCATTGTGCTTTTAATTTTTCTTTTCCTGATGACTAATGGTGTTGACCATGTTTTTCGGTGCCTTTTGTCTATTCATTTTCTTTTGTGAAGTATCTGTTCATATTGAGTCCATATTTATATGGGGTAATAAGAACTCTTTATTTTGGAAACAAGTTCTCTAATATACATATCTTTTACAAATATGTCCTCCAAGTCTATGGATTTGATTTCTGTTTTATTAACATTGTCTTTCAGAGAACACAAGTTTAAAATTTGGAACCAACCTAGTATATCAATTTTTTTCTTTTTTTTTTTTCTTTTTTTTTTTTT